GGATGACTTGGGATGGCATCCCAGGTTCTGGCACGTACGTAGAAAATTCTGCAGAGACACCAGCAGGTAGGCACCGATGTGGAAATGAATTCTTTCCAGGCTGACGGCCAAGAAAGAATTCTTGAGACGTTTTTGGTGTAAAAAAAGTTGGTTTTATTAAAGTATGGGGACAGGACCCATGGGCAGAAAGCACTGCATTGAGGTTATGCAGAGTGACTAAGAGAAGGTTTTCTATCCTATAGAGGGGAGGGTGATCTTAAGGCTCCAGGAAATTGGGTGCAGAGGTTCCTGGAGGTCTATTATTAACATGGTGTTTTTCTTGTAAATCATTAAGACGGTTACAAACTGGGTGCCTGGGTGGCTCAGTTGGTTGAGCATCTGGCTCTTGATTTTGGCTCAGGTCATGGTGCCAGGGTCATGGGATGGAGCCCTGCGTGGGGTCCTGGCTGAGTGTGGAGCCTGCTTAAGATTCTCCATCTGCCCCTCTCCCTTGTTCACGCTCTCTCTTAAAAAAAAAAAAAAAGACAGAAACTCTAGTGGAGTTTCATGTGCAGTATGACTGTAATTGATGTGACTTGATCTGGGGTCTGAAAAGAATTCTTGAGATGCTTGGTGCAAGGAAAAAAACCCCCAAAAAACAGGTGTCTTAATTAATGCACAGCAACAGGACCCCTGGGCAGAAAGAGCTGCAATGAGGTATGATTGGTTATATACTTTTAAGGGGAGGTGGGAATGTATAGACAAAGGAAGTTTCCTAAGGGATTTTCATGTGTTAAAGGAGACACAGGATCCAGGAGCCCTGGCTATTATTGTGAAGCAAAGGGTGTTTTTTGCCTCTAGCAAAGCATTAAGATTGGGAGTTCCTGGAGGAATTTCATACTCTGTAGATCTCAAGTATTTGTCCACGGGCTGCAAGTTATAAGGGGATTTAATGTTCTCTGCATTTCCTTTTGCCTTTGTTTTCACATCAGGTGATCATTTGTTTTCTCCCTGCCTCTGTTCTCAGGCAGTCACCAGTACCTGAGGAATGTTCTACACGTCCCACCGTCACTAGGGTACCTTTATAGGGAGTCTGCTCAGCGTAACTCACCCATTCTGTGCAACACGGTCTCCCAGAGTCTAGATTAGAAAAATGAATGTAGGGTGCAACAGAAATTAGTCTTTCTCTTCATACCCCTCCTGTTGGTTTTGTTTTGTTCTCTTCGGCTGTACAATTTCTTGCAAGGCAAGAAAGAAATGCAAAGCCGTGTTAGGTTGTGGGTTCTCATGTGTTTTTTGTCTTGGGTAATGTCAACTTAAATTACTTACCTAAAATATTTTACATGAGGGAAAGTTAA